TGGTTTTTAAGGATACAGATATTGAAATTATCACAGCTGATCATTTCATTCAGACATGAGTTTAAAAGGTTAAGTTACTATCTGAAGAAAGGTAATCTGGTTGCCTTTCACAGCAGCCTGCAAGCTCTGCAATCTGCATAGAGAGGGGCATTTGTCATCATTAGCTGAGCTGTGACAGCTGGCACCCAGGGTGTCCCAGAATCAAGAAGTGGCAGAAACACTGGGTTTAGGTTGCCATTCAGTATAGTAGGCTTCTAGAGGATCAAGTATATTTTATGAAAAGCTTTGTGATATAACTAACAGCAGTGAACATATTTGAATTTTCCATAACACAGATAATACAAGGATAGCACATAATTAGCAGGTTGCCTCTAGACAACAAGATGCCAGATCATCTACTTCCTGCCTGCCACTTAGAGGGAGAATTTTTTTCAGCACCAAACAGCACAGTAGAGTGGCTTTTCTTTTTCCCAGCTCTATGATAAGAGTGAGTTAGGGTGATCAATTAAATGTATTCAAAGAAACACACTGAAGGTGGAGTGACTGATTCTCAGATACATTTGAAATCAGGATATGAAAAATATGTAACCTTCAGGAAGGAGCTAAACTGCACAATTTCAATACACCACCACCCATTCTTTGGATAATATGAATACAAAAATTAAAGTAATTCCCACAGGCACAGGCCTCTAGTTGTTTGAAATGTACATAGTTGATAATGAATGTTTTAAAAATTCCTTGGCAGAAGTTTAACATCAAAATATTTTCTCCAAATATGTGCTATTACGTGTCTGAAATAGCTGGGGTTATCTAGAAGATAGTCATTAAAGCTGACAATTTTATAAAGTCACTTTTATATCTAATTAGTACAATACTATATAAATAATACAAAAGAAAGTTTAAATTAAGAAACAGGTTGATCAGTCCTCTGAAATTTAGAATGCTACAATCTCTCTAAAGTCATCAGTGCTTAAAAATGTAATCAATAACACTAGGTTTTATATTATTATGTAAACTAGTTTTTCACAAATAAAACTAATTTTTGTGTTAATGTAAAATCTATGCAAATACATGCAGTCATTTATCAGGAAAGCTGACAAGCATTCCATATTGGAGGGGGAAATGAAACTGCCTCAAGAATAGAGGCAATTAATTATTTTTGTATTTTTTCTTCTTCTGTCTTCAGGCACAAAAGTTATCCATCCAGTTAAAACAGCAAATGAAATAAAGAGATTTTTTTTTTATTTAAACACATATGGCTTTTGCCTGCAATACTGATCACCACAAGGTCTACAGATGCCCGTGGCTAAATTGTACACTGGCAGATGCACACAGGGGAAAACAGTGCTAATGCAGCATGGAGGGCAAAACAAATGAAGAACTGCACTTGCTAGGCAAAAAACCCCAAACCCCAAACAGAACCCCAAATCCACTTTCCGATGAATTATGCATTCTGCTTATCAAATACAGGTAAAGGTAGCCAAAAAAAGAAAGAAAGAAAGAAAGAAAGAAAGAAAGAAAGAAAGAAAAAAAAGAACCTTGTTCTGTTGGAAAAAGTAGAAAATGATTTTAAATTAGTAAGGACATTCCTATGTATACTGACATGCATCAATGTAGGTGGGTATTTAAGGACTACATTTTTTTTCTATGAACAGAATGGCTAGTGATATTGAAACACTTCAGTTTCACAATTAAAAGCTTACAACATTTAAAATTGCCATAATGTATATGATTAGATAAAAACTGTTGAATTTCTAGTTGGTAGTAGTTGTAAAATCCATTTAGCAGCAATCTCTTAATGTAGTACTGAAAGCTGATGAGAACTAGGTTTTTATGGACTGTTCTTGCAAATGTGACATTGCTTCCTCGTGGCAACAAGAAGTCTATATTTAGTACCTGTTCTTTTACCAGCCTAATATAAAAATGCAAAAAATCCAATTCAGTCTTTTAATCTGAAATAGTATGGCTCTCTGTGTGTGTGTGCGTGTGTGTGTGTGTGTGTGTGTGTGTACAGCCTGCATGCATGGGCTATTTTAAAAACCATAAAAAGACTATGTTTCCTAAAAATGGTTTATTATTAAGAAAGCAATAACTTCTTTCTTAATAGGTCTTTAAGCATGCATAACATTAAAAATTCTATTGTAACTGCCAAATAAAAATATAAAACAGAGAGCATTTAGGTAATTTGTATATCTTGGGGGGAAAAAATAAAAGACTAGTTGCACTATTTCAAGTCATACTTGGAATACTTGAAAGAGCACCATAATGAAAATTTCTTGACTTTTCAGTTTAATAATTCTTTTCTGGATGATTTGTAATCATCTAAATTTAATATTTATTATTATTACTTTATGTGTATGAGTGTACTGCCTGTATATATGTAAGTTCACCCGTGTTGTTCAATGCCCTCGGCCATCAGAAGAGGGCATCAGATTCCCCTGGAACTGGAGTTACGGAAGGTTGTTAGCCACCATGTGGGTGCTGGGAATCAAACCCATGTCCTCTTCAGGAACAGCCAGTGCTCTTAAATGCTGAGCCATCTTTCCAGCCCATTACCTAAATTTAAATGACAGTGCACATTTATATATAATTTGAGCTTGAAGCATATGTTCCAAGAATGTGCATGTGTTAAGATTAGCTGTAATTAACTACTTAGGCTCAGCTTATACTATGCAAAAGAAAGACTAACAAAAATGCAAAGTCAAATATAAATATCAACAGTTTGTGAGATTTTTTTCCCTCTTTCTATAAAGACAGCAAATAAAAGATTTGCCTTAAATGTTGCTAATTGATTTGAAGAATTCATAGAATGCTATATTCATATGGGGAAATCATAGATTGGAATAGTACTGCATTCAAATTATACATCAGTACACTTAATATTAAAAAGTAGATGTCACATAAAGGTAAAGCTAGCATTTTTATTTCACTGTATTCTCAACTTTTATTGAAACACTCTATCTTAAAAATTATGTTATTAATTTTATTTATGGTTTAAATTTTAGTTAGGTAAAACCAACAAAGATGTGTAGATTTAAAAATACTATTTATCAATTTTACTTTCCACTTGGTATTTTTGATAGTTATGAAAATTTTGCTTTTAAGAAAGAGTATGAATTGGTAAACTAAAATTTAT